GAAATGTAAACAAAATTTATACTTATTGTTAAAATCTCTATAAAATATCTGATAATTAGATGTGCATATTTTTTTGATTGAGTGATCATTTTTGACCGCCAGATGGCATTTTTTTACTTTTTTACTAGATCTCCGAAACCGCTAGGCCTGCTTGCATGAAAATTTGATCATTTCTTGATCTGTTAATACAAGTAAAATGTTTTTTGAATTATTCAAATCGGACGCTCCGTTCTCTTAAAAACTGAGTTACCGCTTTGGCACTTTTTGACTCATATCTTCGGAACGGCTAGACCTGCCTTCGCCAAAAACTAATCAGCACGTCTCCTTATCAATGCGAATCGAATGTTGTTTGAATTATTCTAATCGGTTGATCGGTGTTCCCAAAATCGTCGCCGAAAATTTGTATCCGCACACACACACACACACATATACATACATCCATTTTTTCTAAGGTATGCCAAAATGTTCAGAAACCTCCGAAACGTAAAAATATATAAAAATTTTCATTTTACATTTTTTTGCGATTACTATAACTTACCCTATGGAAAGCTAATAAATAAGCTTAAGACATGAAAATTATAAAACTTTAAACTATAAAAACTTAGAATTATATAATGAAATTTTGATTTATTTCAATAATATTAAATCACAAAATGTTTGACCATTTATACCTCTCACACTATTTTTAATTCGGACTGAAAATCTCATTTTTGCAGTAAATATAATATCACAAATAACACTTTATGACGCAAATATTAATTCGTAATCACGTTAGCAATTATAAATTTATTTTTGATTCTTCAACAACCCAAATAATTGTTCAGAGCAAATGATTACCTATAGAACAATTATAATGCCTTGACGTAGACGCTTTCGTGTTTCTATTAATTACAATAATTATATTAAAACCAAAATGAAAATTATACATGGAAGTCGTCTTCGTGTTATTTTACGGCCATCAAAACATTAGATCGCATAATTGTGATAAAATCGGAAACTGGGATATAAAAAGCGTAAATTTGTACTGATCGTCACTTCAGTTTTCAACCAGTAAAAATTTATAGTGAAAAAGTCAAACCCAAAAGACAACTAAAGCTTTCAAAATGAAACTCACAACTGTTCTAGTGGTTTTGGCAATGGTCTTTGCAGTCGCATCGGTAAGTAATTAAAAAAAAATAATAATAATAATTTAACAATATAGTAAATTCATCTGTGGATTACTTTTTTTCCGAGTCCATAGATGTATCAATATTTTAGTTTAGCACCTAAAACGTAGAAAAGAACCTCAGAATTTTGTATTCTTTTCATATCTTTTGATTTTATAAAGCTTTTTTCATTTTTTTTCAAATTAGAATTTAGGAAAATTCGTACAGGTTGAGCATCATTTATAGACGTCAAATGATTTTAAAATCTTTGAAATTCATAAAACTGATACCCTAAACAATATTTTTGTATCCAAACATACATGCAAACCACATAGATCTATTTTTTTTTTAATTTGACACATGTTGAAACATAAAAAATTGTTTAATACAATAACTTAATATAAGGTTGTCAAATATCTCCCTTCGGCCTTTTTGTATTATAAACCAAGAGCAAAAAAGCGGAAGGGAGATATTTGACAACCTAATATAATGAATCAAATTTATTCTTTTAGATTTATCTACTTAATACCAGAATACGCCGAAGTTATATTAATAAAAATAATTTCAGAATCGCACGTTTTGCAGACTTTTAAATTAAACTAACAGAATTTTGCATCTGAATCGAATACAGTATATACAATATAAATTATCATATTAAAATTATTTATTTATATGAATTTTAACATATTTTGTTTTATATTTTCAGGCCATTGCTTTCCAAAAAAGAGAAGGTAAGACTGTAAAATTTTGCAATCCCTTAAAATACTTCATTCCAACAAATCTAAATTACTGTAAAACTTTTTCATTAATTTTTTTATGCAAAATGGTATATTTTAGACCCGACAACTCTTTCAAAAGATATGCATAGGCTTCATAAAAGAAAAGGTAGACAAACAAATATTTAAAAGAAAAAATCACAATCAAATCTTAAGATTGACAATAATAACTATTCATATAAAATTAGTCTATCAGTAAATTATTAAATAATTATTTATTTTTCATGATCAGCTCATCAAGAAGTACCCGAAGAGCAACAAGTACCAGTAAGTATATATTTTTAGTATTTATTTTTTGCAAACTCTGTTAACTAAAATATTACCTTAATTCTTTTTTACAGCAAAATAGCGTAAACAAAAGACAAGGTGAGTACAACCACTTTATATTTATCATATTAAAAAACTAAGGGACCAAATCTGCCGCATAACAGAAGAATGTTATGGCAAGGCCATGTTACGCTCCAACTTTCATACATTATTCTACTAAATCATACTGAATACTGTCAAAATGTCATGTATTTGCTGTGCATTGAAGCGTTTTACACATAAACTGCAACTTCACTTGTAGGTTATGAAGCTGAGTCAGAAAGACCTTGATGTCTAAAATCTTTTTTTTTTTTGACATTTGTGCGGTTTTTAGGTTATGTTTTCTATCTGACAGCCTTAGAAAATCGCCTGACTGCAAAGCAACCACATGGCTTTTGTCAATATGTAGAATAGCCTTGCCATAACATTGGTCTGTTATGCGGCAGAATCGATCCATAAATTAAGTATATTTAATAGGAACTATAAGTTTTAATTGGAAAAAAAGTTTAACTACTATAAAAATCAAAGTAATGCTCTAGGGCAGGTCCGTGGTCTGAGTTAAAATTCAACACGATTCAGGAAATAATAGTGTAAGAGATTTTCCATTGTCATTTCACACCGCAGTCCCCGAAATGGGATATTAATAATTGGAAATATATTTGTTGATCTATATTTTCAAGTTGAATTGAACATGGCTACTACACGATATCAGGTTATCCAAAACGGGAGTTCTAACTTACGACCATGTCCACGCAAGGCCGTGCGCTTTACCGTTACGCCATGAAACACCCTTTTATTGTCATTATAATATTTTAATGTTCGTTCTTTGTTAAAAGTCGAATTACTTTAACTCACGTTTTCAAAACTAAACTGTTTTTTGAGCTATCTATTAAAAATTTATTAAAATTTTCAAATTATATCTACACTCTTATCCGCAGAAGACCTTGCGCTTAACCGTTACGCCATGGAACATCCTTTTATAGTCATTATAATATTTTAAAGTTCGTTCTTTGTTACAAGTCGAATTACCTTAAAACTTACGTTTTCAAAATTTAACTGTTTTTTAAGCTATCTATTATAAATGTATTAAATTATAATTCTAACACTAATATAAATTCATTTATATCCACAATTTTCCATAATATTTTAAATTTTTAAATTTATTTCAGCTGATGATGTGCCAGAAACGGTGAGTAAATAAATTGCTCAGATATGGTTTTATAAAGCAGCATATTGGTATGTAGAATTTATAATTTTTTTTTTTTTTTGAGTGAAGAAAGGACAATGGTAAAAAAGTATTTTGTAATTGTAAAAATTAACATACGTCTATTTCTAAATATTTATAAAAAAATTCTATTTCTAAATATTTTTCTATTTCTGTTATTAATAAATTTTTTATATATTCATACATAAATTTTTTCACATTACTTGAAAGCTCTTTTTGTTCAAGTTGAATAAATGTAAAGTCCTCAAGCTATTAGTTCACAGATTGAAATGCAAATAATAAGTGATATTTGTGTGTAAAATTCGAATTTTATGCAAATTACATTTACTTGACGTAGATATTTTTAATATTTAAAGTAAGTGAAAAAAAATTATAATGTGCTAATGTATTCAACATCAATTTGCAGCAAAACGCAGCCTATGATGAACAAGGTAAGTGACATCTATTTTTAATCAAAAATGTATTATTTTTATTGTATCATTATTTTTCTTGAAAAGTTATTGAACATACAAAAAAAACAAGACCCAATTATTTATTAGCTTCTTTAACAAATATTAATTTGCCGCATTTTTATAGAGTCCAGAAACTCTATTCGCGAAGCTGATTTATTCATTAATTTTTTTTATTGACAATATATTATTTAAAACATTGATCTGATACAAATAAAAAAATTGTAGAGATTATACAAAATCCATCCAAAATACCTTTTTTATTAAATTAAATTAGTGTTCTCGAAATACAAATTCCATAATAAATATTCAGAAATAATTTCAGTAAACTTCCATGGTAATATAAGAAAAAATTGTTTACTTGCATTTAGATCAGAAATTATTGTTTTAATTATAGACTACACTGTTGAGCAATTATTGATTATTGTAGCTGTGAATTCTTTGAATAAATTATTTTCCAATCGCAAATAATTTCATAAGTCCTTTTATGTTTTTCAGGACCTTCTGAATCCGACATCCCGAAATCAGTAAGTATTAAAATTAACCTTACTTGACAATATTTATTAATCTAACCATTTACTAATTCAATTTTTTTATAATTTTTAGTCGATGGCCAAACGTCAAGGTAACTTATTTAGAATTAAAATTAATAAAAACTAAATTATGTAAAATAAGAGAAATTAGTTTTAAAGTTTTCGTTATTTAAAGCTACTCAAGAACCTGAACATCCTCCAGAAGAAATGCCAAAATCGGTAAGTATACTAAAATAAAGTTGAAGTAAAAATAAATATTTAAAATAAATCATATTTTTTAATCAATAACCATAATTAATTATTCATAGTGTTATGCGTCTCTTAATTATTTATATTTATTGGATTTATTTTTACTATATTTTTTTATTACTGGATCAATTTTGGTATCTTACTAATTTATGTGTTCTTATTTGTTTGCAGCAATTGGTTAAAAGACAAGGTAAAAAATATTTATTTTTCAAATAACCAAATCAGAGAGAATAATGCCTAAATATTAATGTCCTTAAATTTCTTACTGAAGCACCTCAAGATCCTGAAGAAGCTGGACAAGAAATGCAGCAACAGGGGAAAGTAAGTATTTTTGGACATAATTTATACTTGAATTTTTTAATAATTTAGATTTCTGCAAATATTAAATTTTAATAAACGCTTTATTTTTTGCAGACTATGAGCAAACGTCAAGGTAATGTAAAAAAGAATAAAGAAATAAAAAAAGCATGTCTATTGGTGCTGATTTGGAAAAACATGTGGATTAAATTCATCCTAAAAATTCAACTCGAGAAGATGATCATGATTTACACCGTACCTACATGAAATAATGTTTTAAAATTATTTTAAATTATTAATATTTTAATTTTTGTAATTAAGTATGTAAAATTATTTGTAGCTGGTAGTGGAGCAGGTGCCAACGAAGGTGCAGGCGCAGGAGCTGGTGGTCATGCCGGAGGTAATAATAAATAAAATCAATATTTAATATATAATATAATCAACATAAATTAGATATCACCAGTAGCTTATAATTTCACTTTTTTATTAAACAAAACCAGAAAGATTTACTCCAAGAATTTAGATATAAACATTAGAACATCATGATTAATATCTTCTGATTGAATCCTGCATCATGGTTAATATCTTCCGCTTGAAACTTACACCATCGTGATATCTTCTGATCAAAAACAAATTTATTTTTATTATTATTATTATTTTAGGTCAAATGGGAGCTCAAGCAGGTTTTGGATTCGGCGGAGGCGTCAGCGGAGGTGCAGGGGCAGGAGCAGGAGCTGGTGCAGGTGGCGGCGCAGGTGGAAACGGTGGTGCTGGAGCTGGCTATTGAGTGTTCTACTTTTTGCTCTTTATTATTTTACTATATTTTGTATTGTAATAATTTTTGTTGGCAATTTTGTAGATTAAAGGTACAATGACTAGTTAAAATGGACTTTATTTAATTAAATAACTACATCGACGTATACAACCATTGATGATTAATCTTTTAATTATTACAATCCATTTGTTTTTGAAAATAATTTTCGTTCAGATTTATGGTTTCTAAAGACAATATCATTAGTTGAGTGTGCAATAAATATATTTTGCTCGTAATGATAATAATCATATAAAGTGATCATAGTCCCGATTTGGACACAAAGCATTAAAATGTGGGGTCGTGCAAGATCTTCAAATTTAAAAATAATCGATCCATATTGACCTATATTTTTTAATTGTTCAAGAAATTTGAAATTGAATTGACTCAAGCACACGAGCACTAATTATCATCTTACATTTACCCAATATCCAGATCCACAAATCTAACAAGTTAATAAATTCAAACTAAGTCAAAAAAGAAGAAAAATTGAAGAAAAAGTGACTAGCAGATTTGAGGAAATAAAAATGCATTTAACACTAGACAACTAGGACCTCCACAAAGATTCAATATGAGATAATAATTCTAATTAACACCACAAGAACTTTTTTATTCCTATTTTTAAAAAGCGATCAAAGTTCTATGAGCTGTTTTATGTAATATTTAAACTCTGGTATAAAAGTTAAAATGTTTGTCGAAAAAATTATCGTAATTATTTGTAGTTAGAAAGAATATTTATGCAAAAACTATGATGTGACATCATTTCTAATTATTCCTGTTTCATCATTAAATTAACAGGGTCCAAAAAACAAATACTTGGAGTTTAAGTTTTAAATAATCTTTGGCAGTTGACTTAAAGTTCTAGTAATGTAATATTAGATTGAATTATATTATTTAATTCAATTAACATATCTGAAAGGTGGGATTCAGTCAATTTTGGGCGTATTATATTGGCCATAAAGGTGACAACCTTCAGGGCATTAAGCTTTACACGGAATGGTTGCTACCCCTGGCAGAGGGAGTGCCGGAGTGTTTTAATTGAACTAGTTGTTCACTTCTAAAAGTAAAGTCCGTGAAACAACATGTTTAATAAATAAACAATAAATATATCTTCTTTTATTATAACTTAGTAACAAATCAGTGATTGTGATTAGAACTGCAACAAATACATAATATACAAACAAATCAGTGTTTAATACAGTCCACAGCTATAAGGGTTAAATTATAACCCATCAACCTGTATTATCAAAGGAGAGTTTTAATAAATTTCATAAGTATGTAACATAAATACAATTTGTTTTGATGCAAATCAATTCCAGTTGGTCCACTTTGGGCTTAATTATAATTAGGCTCAAAGTGGGCCATCTGGAATTGATTGACATGAATTAACAATTGACAAACAAGTAATGAATGAAAAAGTGCAAAGCTCGACGATGGTGTAAACTTAGCTTTTTTAAAAATCATCTACACCTTTACTTCTGGTAACCATATATTGTCACGAATCCCTTTTTATTTATTGTGAAACCCTTTTATTTATTATTTACTACCCTTAATTCATGCCCTAATTTACTATTGTTGTTACATTCGCGGTCTTTCTACATCCTTACCGTGACGTCGCGATCCTGTAAGAAACTGATTACTTTAAAACTACTAATGAAAAGGCGTTTGTTCGTTACTTAACTAACAAACCTATATTTAAACATAACAATCCCCTAATCTAAAACATTTCTTATTCTAACATGCAACTTATTCTAGACTTATCTTTAACCACGGCGCAACCAGTGTCCATCACATGTCCATACATCGGGCCCGATTCACATAAATCACTTAACCATCACCTTTAGGTATTTTCACTAAGTCTACTTTCTGTTTGGGGACAGTCTCCGAACGCTGTCCCCCCATGATGTCCTCTAATCTCACATTCAATACATTTTATTAACACTTTCGTGCGCTGGACCGCACGTTTGTCGACACTGAGGCCACGCCGGCAACTCTCAACCCCGACAACGACTACCTCAAGACTACGACTATATCTAGACTACCACTAGACTGTTAAAGCAGACAACTCTCAGCCCTCGACACACTCCTCATCAGGGACATGGTGTTTTTATGCATATAGGGAGAGGGGTAGTTGTGTGTTATTTTATAACTGTGTGTGGGTGCTTCCCCACACATTCGTAACACTACCCCACCTCCTCTAAAGATCGCCCTCGATCTTTCAAAGCGCCATCCCTGGTGCCGCACCAGCTTTCTTGGCTCCGGATAACTTAGGTGGCGCACTCCAATGTCTGCCTGCTCCCCGGATGACACGTCGATGGCGCATTCCAACTTGTCTGATCTGCTGTTTGCTCTCCTCCCGTAGGCTGACTTTTGCTCAATCCGGCATGTCATCTGCATAGGCGTCGACCCCCTAGCACCCTGATACACAATTCGGGTCGCGATGTTTCAGTAATGTAGTTGTACACGCGTTCAATTTTTTCTTGCACTGTTACACAAAATTACTTCACAACAGATTTCAACCAAAAGTAAGATTACATTAACAGTTTAGTGTATTTGTCCAAAAAGTGTCATAACAAACAAAAAAAAAACATCACTTAGTCCACTTTACTTATTCACTGTTTGTTAAAACTTTGATCTAACCTTATTGCTTTTATTACTACCTACATAAACTACATTCAAATATAATAACAAAATCGATCAAAGTTAATCGAACATATCAAATTTAATGAGAAAAAAAAAAAAAATATTCGAACTTATCAAGTATTAAAAATTATCAAACATTATAAAAGTAAATAACATAAAAATACTCAGAAAATGAACATAAACTTATCTACACTTAGCACTTACTTCTATAAAATTTAAAAAATAACACTATCTCATAATATTTTTATCAACAGCTTTTTAATCTATTCTAACAATAGATTCTAAAACTTAAAATAATGACATTATAACTACAACAAATTTACATTTAATATAAACATTTGGCTTGAGTAAAACATAAACGCATTTGTTTCTTTATCAACCTAAACCTAGTTACATACTTATTAACGACAATGTTTACTTAACAATGTAAAAACACAAAACACACAAACAAAAGAAAAGCATTGCAAGAGTAAGACTAAGAGCGAGAATAAGAACAATAAAAGTCAAATTGAACATAAGTAATTAAAATACTCTACATATTATTTTAAAATTCGGGAATTGCTGACTGTTTTGAATTTGGCGGTCCCATCTCTATTAACGTACAACGCAAACATAAACCTAATTTACTTTTACCCTAGTCTAACTATTCCTATTACTATTAAACCGTGTACAGCAAGTGCGCTTCTCAATATAAAACAAGAAGTGAGTCGTCGGAATGCTTGTTTCCCCCCGGTGTTCCTAGGCTCCAAACGGTGCTAGATGCCCATAGCACCTTGCCTATCCAATAAAAGACCTGAAGCAGCATCGCGCCCGCTTATAATTTCAGAAGGAAATTACCATCAGCAATAAAAACCAAACACACACAACGTCGCGCGACGCTTACTGATGGCGGAAGTTTTTGAGCAGGCATCGGGAGCGGATATCTGCTCAAAAACCTCACATTAGCGGCGGTACAATGTGGTAAAAAGTACCGGCTCTAGCGTGAAATCCACAAAATTTCACTAAAATACATAAAACATAATCAACAACCAAAGCTTCCAAATGGATAGCGTGATAGCAATCAGCTTGTATGTGATGTATCACGCTTCAACGGTCTCACTCAGAGCACCAGAACCCTCGCTGGGGGTGCTCCCACAGCCCAAAACCATATCCCCATGCTGTGAGATCAAAATCAAATCCATAATCAATATCCATATCACAACAACAAAACACCAGCCCGGGCGATCTTTCCCCAAAACCGTAAAACCCCAAATTTTCCCAAAAATCGCAAAACCCAATTCTATCCTCAATTTACTTTTTCTAAACACCCCGAGTATAATCCACATACATTATATCAAACACAAAACAACAATCAATTAAAATTTACATTTACTCAAATCTTGCATTAAAATCTAAAACATTTTCATTTAAAACGAGGGAAAAATCAAAATACACTTATCTCTTATACTTAGCTGGCCAGCTGACATTCATAAAAATATGCATACTCACACAACTATTTCTCAATTCCCGACTGAACTAAACAACCACTTTCGCAATCAAATCAAAATATTCATCTATTCATGTTAATAATCATCTATTAACCCCTAATTTTCTCTTTTCGCGTCGTATTCCTTCATACGCGAATTATTTCCCCGAATCCCTCACAAGGACATCTTTTTTTTTTCTCACATCTTTTTTTCCCCAATATCATTTTATCCCAACATTATTCTCAACGGTTATAAAGTATCGCCCAGTGCTCTCTGAGTGATGGAAAAGAAACACCAAAGTACAAACCAACGCCTCTGCACTTGCTGTTAAACCGCCCTATTCTGTCTCTATCTTCTAATTATTCATAACATTCTTTACTCAAAATCCTATTCGTAAATTTTCTCCTCTATTTTTTGTTCATTTTAAGCAACTTCTTTTATGACACCATTAACTAATTTATAAAACGGTAAAATTCTAATTACAACCGTATTTATCTATCTCTAACACCAAAATATTCAATACAACTCGTCCGATCGCGCAATTTTTTTTTTTATGAGGACTTACTTTAACGAGAAAAAACTGGCATAACAAAAAGTACGATAATAAAACAAAAACAACAACAAAATAAATCATCGCATTTTTATTTTAATTATAGCAATATGCAAATTATCAAATTATTCAACAGTACTTAAACTATGAGCTATTTGTAACTCGCCTTTTTTTTATCTTTATTTTGTAAACCATCTCACTTATAAGATTTGCTACCTATGCATTTATTTTAATTTTCGATCTTTATATCCACCTAATTACTATTCTTACACTATCTTAAATACGTAAAAACAACAAAGAAACAACGGGTAAAATAA